CTGCTTTCTCACCAGGGTGGTTCTGAGGCAGGAGAGTGCAGTGTGGGTGGACCTCAGCATGACCCTCCCGACTGACCCTGGCAAGCCCTTCCCGTCCTCCATCTGGGTTCCCAAGGTTTGCTCATTTCCAAGTCCACGGCTGCTGAACACATTTCACCATTTACCGCCTCTGGTTCCACCACCAGCACAAAGGCTAGGCTTACTGAGCACTTTCCACATGGGTGTACCAGCTTCAGCCCTGGGAGGAGCGTGTGAGGATGTGCACAAGGGGTCCCTCCTGTCTCTGCTCTGCATATTGTGAGTCAAATCAGACCTCTCACTGGCTCCTCCCCAGCCAGGCAGACCTGGCTCACATTCCTCTTTCTGCAAATGGGTAAAACACTACCACAGAGGACCAGACCTGGGCAAAGCCCAAGCACTGCGCCTGTGAGTGATCACGGCTCAGCTATCCACCCAGGATGGGACTCAGAGGGGTACAGATCCTGGCGAAAGTCACACAGCCAGCCAGTGGCAGAAACTGAGGGGCAACCGTCATACTCTCCCTTCCCTTCCCCCTCCCCGGAAAGTTAGCTTCTTTCTAAACCAACAAACAAAAAACCCCAGTAATTAGAAAAGCACATTTGTCCTCCTATCCTTTCTGGATCTTGACCCCAAAACTGGGTTCCCACCCTGCCTTGGATCAATTTCAAGATATATGCACACACAGATGTGTTATTTAACATTATGAAATATATTCATATACAATACCTGAATATATGTATATTCACAGATCAGAAGTCAGGGTGCAGAGGAGCCCTTGATTGCTTAGTAGAATTTTCATCCCATTTCTCTCACAGCAAGCCACTGTTGGCATTTTAGATACAATGAATCACAGTGCCCCCTCCTCTCCCAGAGGGGATCCTCATCCTCCCCTTATGAAATGGAGCATTGGAAAGCCCTCCGTTGACAGAAGAGGAAATTGAGGCTCTAAGGTGCTAGGCAGAGTGGGAGTGGAGGCTAGACTGGAGACACTAGTCCTGATGGGCTGCAGACAGACTGGGGGGAGGGAGGGACAGACATCTCGTGGGACGGGGAGGAGCCTCTGATGTCTGCTGGAGCCCAGGTGCTACCTAGGAAAGCGTTGGCTTGGGTGTGGGGATGGGGTGTGGGAGGTGAGGGTCTGAGCACCTAGGGGAAGGGGACTAACAAGGCCCTGGCGCAGGCAGCCTTGGGCTTGTGGGAGGCACCCTCCTGGAGCTGAACCACCTGGAAGCAGGTCCCAGTCCTCACCCTCCCCAGCCACAGACTAGGCCCTGAGTCCTGGCAGCTCTGCAAGAAAACTGGACATTTCACAAATGGCAGGTATGAGGCCCACAGAGGGGAGGAGACTTGACAAAACCCGGCAAGTGGTGCAGGCCTTTTCTTCTTAGCAATGGTGACAGCTCACATGGACCATGGATGGAGCACCCCCATGTGCTAGGCCAGTGATAAGCGCTCTACATGGTCCCGGGAGCAGGCCACTATTTCCCCACTTCACAGATGAACATGAGGCTCAGAGGCTTGTGACTGTCCCTGAACTACCGTGAGGGATGGAGGAAGACAAGGCAGGCAGGGAGACCCAAGCGCCTTCCACAGCCCCCCAACCTCTTAGAAGGCTCGGGGGCTGCTTCTCTCCTGTCTGGCACTGTTGTGGGATCCCCGCCCAGCCAGAGGGGACTCCCTGGAATCACACCTGCCTTTGGCAGCTCTCTGGCTCTCCCTGGAGTACAGCCAAGATCCCACTTGGGGGCACCGCTAGATGAGCCCCCCACCCCCACTCCACCCCACCAGCAAAGGAGCTGGCTATACTGGCCTCAGGCTGCGTCCCCTGTAACCAGCTCTGGGCCGAGGCAGGGAGGGGAGTGTCTTCACCTTTCCCTTTTTCTCCCTGGCTGGGACACACTGCGATGCTCTTAGGTGAGGCTGTTTGTCCATCCCTGCGGCAGAAGAGGGCTGCGGGGGAGACAGCTGTGGAGCCAGCTTGTGGGGAGGTTAGCATGCGGGTACCCAGAGTGGTGGGAGCCCTCCTTCCTCAGTCGAATTGGCTGGCTGTCAGGGAGGGAGAGGGAGTAGGCTGGGTGTCAGCGGAAGTTGACTACCAGTCAGGCAGTCCTGTGGTCATCTCTGCCCTCAGAATGGGACCGAAAGGGACTGTGCACTCCTGGCGGAGAGAAGGTGGTACCGGTGGTAGGGCCCTCCAGGCTTGCCCATCCAAAGTGGGGAGGGCGACCTCCCGTCTGACACCAAGCCACCCGCTTGTCTGAGACGTCGCCGCACAAATGTCAAGGAGTCGGATGCGGAGCCTGTCCAGAAACACAGCTCCTAAGATGCGGCCCGCCGCGCAGGAACGGCGGGACCGCAGCTGTTGCACATCTGTGCGCTGGATACGACCCGGCACCTCCGCGGCTGGCAGGACGCAGGCGCCAACTAGCGGTGGCTTCCGTCACAGCTCCAGCCCAGGCGGCCCCGCGACCCCCAGCTGCGGCTCAAAGGGCCAGAAATCCCGGTCCCCAGGTTCTGGCGACCGTCAGCTAGGAGCGCTTTCCCGAGAGCTGGAGCTGCGCCGTGTCTTGTGCCAGATGCTAGGGCGCAGACGAGTCCCATTCCCTGGAAACCCGTTCGAAAACTCGAGGTAGAGTAAGGAAAAAAATCAGGCGGAGGGAGAAATCCGGCGGAGGGACAAGGAAAGGGCGCGGATATAAACAGAAACCACTCAATGAATCGAACTTATAAACCCTAGAAACAGCAGATCAGGGCCACACAGCAGCTCCAGGACCGCATGGGTGCCCTCCTCCTAGGTCCCTACCTGGCCGCAACGCGGTGGGCTTTCCCCGGGAAAGCTCCCAGAGCCGACACGCACGGAGGCCAAGTCCCTCGCTTTTCTCAGGTTCTGCAGCTCGGGCCAGCGCTTCTGAGGGCGCGCCAGCCTCGGCCGCTGAGCGACAACTCCAGAGTAGGCTCTCCCGAGAGGTCCAGTAAGAACACGCCCCGTCCCTGCTTCCGAGGTGACCTGAGGGGCTGGCACAAGGCCCAGCGAGGGGTAAGGCCGGCCCTCCAGGTGGTCGGGGTTGGGCCAGAGCCTGTCGCCCTTGGCGTGCACTCGGGGTCTGATTTCGTTCGGCGACGTGGAAATGGCGCGAGCTGGGCAGAGGGGAGATTCAGGATTAGATCATGCCGCCACCGTCGGATCCTAGGCTGCTTTGCTCCTCAGCCTTGGAATTCGCTGTTCCGCGCCTGTCAAACACCTCGGGCAACGAAAACCCAGCTCAGTCTCCAATGCGGGGGAGAAATGGCACGCGTTCGTTCTCCTGAGTCCAGGGAGCGCATCTGGATCGAAGATTCCCAGCGACTAGGAGTTTGATCTTTCCGGTTCCCCTTCCGCGCTCCTTTGGTCTGGGAAGCAGGAGAGGAGAGGGTTGTTTGTAGTGAGCCTGGAGTGGTTGGGCCATGCAGCCAGGAGTGCAGCGGAGGCCCCCAGCCACTCAGCAGGCCCGGCAGAGCTGTCCGCGTCCCTGCAGCGCCGCCTTAGCGCATGGTCCAAAAACACGTGGGCTTGGACTCGCGGGGACCACTTGTCATCTACGTGGAGAACGCGAATTCTCTCTTTGGAAGCCAGAGTCCTTAACATTACAGCCGCTCCGCAGGTCTCTGCTTGTGCCCGTCCTCTTCCACGATGCGGGACGGTGGTGACATGCGTCGAGGGGGGAAAAGCACCGGACGATCGTTACATGTGCGGCGAAAAAAATCCGAAAAGCACGCGTTTTGAAGGCCTCACCATGGTTTCAAACAGCCACGGGCCGCCACCACGAAGAACGAACCCTCGAGGCCTGTGCGATTCCGAAACTGGATCGGAGGGGCAGGCAGAGAGGAGCGGGGCGGTCCGGCCCAGCCGGCCGCAGGCCCGCGGGGGACTCCTTTCCGTCTGCCCCAGGTTGGCACAGGGGCCACCAGGGCCGGGACCGAGCCGAGCGCGCGGGGCTGTGCACGTGGCAGCCCGGCGCGTAGGAGGCTCTGGGGTCAAAATAGTTTTCGGCGCGGCGGAAGCCAGAGAACTCTTTGGGGCGGCTCCCGGCGCGATGTCACCGGCCGGGGGGCCCCGCGGTGCCCAGTTGAGCGTCCCAGCATATCTCGCCCAAAGCAGTCAGAGCTCTGGAAGCCCGGTGGCTGCCAGAGGGGAAAGGGAGGAAGCGTGGGGACCTGTCCCAGAGGGAGTTGCGACCCCGGGACGACGGCCAGGGAACCCCCCTACCCATTTCCACCACCGGCCCGGCTGCTCCCACTCTCCGGACCTGGACACCCGCGGGGGGCCCCAGACAGAAGGCGTCCTCGGCGGGGCGGGACCTTCCGCGTGGCCCTCCCCCGCGGGCCGCCGAGGTGCCCGCGACTGGAGTTTCAATTGGCTGCGCCACGCGTCGCTCGCGCGGCCCCGCCCCGCAGGCC